CAGAGCGTCTCGTAGCCCGCTCTCGAAAAAAAAAACACCAGCGTGGTGGACGCAGGATGCGGCGCCATGCGGTAAGTCTACACCTACCCACGCTGTGCGCTAATCAAATCAGGTCATGACGCGCGGGTTGCGTCAGTGAGTGGTGGCAGGTGTTGGCGCTAAGGAAACCGCGTTAATGTTGCCCTTATTTGATTTGACAAGATAATATCTACACATCAGAAAGTGACGTGTCGCGGTAGGAATCAGAAATCTTTTAGCAGGAGAGAAAACACCCTCAGTAGGTCGTGATTAGAAGATTTGCGCCACTCGAAACTCAGAGAATAAGGCAGTTTATGTAGTTTAATAGTTTACTTACGTTAACGCATTAATCTTTCTCCGCTTCAAAATGATTGCGATCGAGGTCGAAAGGAACAAAATGACCCTAACACATTGTTGACTAACATAACAACAAAAAAAACTCCAAAAGATTTCTAATGCTTAAAAAAGGGTCTTAGGTAAGAGATTGTAAAATTTTACCTCGAAATAACGTGCGCAATGGGCGTATTTCATTTGTTATTCTGACAACCAAGATTTCTACAATTAGAACAATTTTTTCAGAAAAGATGCGCCCTGTTAAGAATTTCCAATATTTATTTTATCATTCTGAATGTATCGGACTACTGTAGGGATTCATAAGGGTCGCTTCATTTGCGGAAACATCGCCTAAAGGGAGACCAGCGTACCACAGACACGAGCAATGTCACCAATCAAGTTTTTTGGAAGAGGGTCTAATTCGACAGTAATACTCTCCAAGTACACTCAATTCGGATTTCAAAAATTCTATATTCTAGCTGGTCCCTTCTCCATAATTTTCTGTTATTTTGGATGGGCAGTTTCCATAAAAATCGTATCTACCATTCGCCGCAAACTGCGCTGTGTCAAGGTCATCACAACCTTTCATGGACTGACAAATTGTCAGAACCCAATAGTATCCAAAATCAGGTTGTTTGAATGATGAGTCATGTATCACTTTTACAAAAATGTTTGTGAACATCTTGTAACAGTGAAAGGAATACTTTGAGATTTTCCCAACAATCGCTTTACTAAGATCTTGAAACCCACTAGTATGTGCCATTCCAGTTCCTGCCTAATTTCGCTCAAAGCACCAATATCCTGCCACGACACATCCGGCACCGTGGCGAAACCTTCACGCTTCGCTGAAGGTTGAACATTCTCAAGTGCACGTTCAAAATCCGACATGGCTACTCGAAATCCACCCAGTTTCTCCAAGACTCCTGGATCGTCTTCGGACTGGAGCCAGGCAAGCACTAAATTTAGTGCGATAGGCAAGCTAGACACCCAGGTAAACCGTAATTTCACCTTTTTCCAGTTCTTCTTTCACTTCTTCATTAGTCATTTGGCGTTTTGATGATCTGTGGCTCACAATCGTGTCGAATATCCTGGAGAAAAAAAA